CCGCATGTAGTTTAATTTTAATCCGTTATCACGATCAAGTAAGTCGTTATAACGACTAAGTAACACGTTATAACAATTAGTCTATGTACAACGAGTATTTAAAACGTAACACCGATTAGTTTACTCATTATAAAGACTGAGCAACCTCGTAATTCCGACTTTACTATCACGCAGTAAACACAATTAACTGAAACCGTTTTAACATGTATAACGAATTAGCTTATTCTTTATAATGAGTTACTAAGTTGTGATAACGAATTAGCTTAGTCTCAATCTTCCATATGCAATAACGTGTAAGCTTGCTGTAGCTGCTATGAGATGTAATCTTAGTCGTGACAATGAGTAACTAAGTCATGATTATGAGTGAGCTTAGTCTCGATCTCCCATTACCTAAATCGTTTAAGAGCTGTTCTCCGGTAAAGCGCTCAACGTCCGTGTAAAAAATGATAAAATATAAATTGCAGCAAAACTTATAAATAAAGAACATGGAACATCCGCATAGTATATACTATCCACCATATAAATTTCAGCATGTAATATGCTACCGTTAATTAGAAATGATCGAGACAGTTTAGATGAAAAAATGTCAAAAAATATATTTAACGTCATTTTATTTCCTTTGACTTCGTTATTTGATAGCATGATTTTCAATATCAAAGATGCTGAAACCTTTGAAATCATTTCTTTTATGGTATTTTAATATCTTTATTAATTCACATAAACTTTAACGTGCTTATCTTGTTAGTTGAAATTAAGGAATATTCAGACATGTCTGCATTATTATATAAGTCTTTTTTTTTTAATCTCTTCACCTCAAATTAGGGTGATATATCTTCCTGTGGACTGTTACCTTGTGAACTAGTAGTAGTACGCTAAAAGATCGACTCAGCATGTCGGTCTTGTACAAAGCAGGATTAATATTAATATCGTATTCACATGCTTTCGACCCGAATATGCATATGATTCGCCGCTGAATGTTCCTCCTCCTCCTCATCATCATATCATCCTTATCATCATCCTCTAGTTGGCAAATCTGTGTTACCATAAATGATCATTGATATGGTCATATTTATAAATCAACTGTTTCAATTTGATGGGTTACTTCCTTTGATATTCAATCATACTTTTTGTCTTTGTATCGGAAATTTTAAATAATAGGACAACACGTGTTTATATCTGATCGAAGGATTAAACGAATATTTTATCAATTATTTGATAATGTTTAAAGTTATTATAGTTCTGCAATTTTAGAGGAGATATGATTGATTGATTGTTGTTTTCTGAACGTACAATGGCAAATATTTCATGCAAATTTATGACCGAGAGAACCATTTTCAAACAAGAAATAAGACGTTGCATGCCTTGTCGTTGAAAAAGAATTAAAAAAAGTCCCATGAAATAAAGAAAACCATGTCCAGAGAGAGACGACAAAAAGACAAACAGCAAAATATAAAAGATAAAAACATTTTCCATAGATTTTTTTATTCATAGTAGACAACCCTCTTTGTTGGTTGGTTGTAGCATGTTAATCACACCGACTTCAAAAAGAGACCACAAAAAAAGCGACCAATTAAAACAGCTTCTCCCTGTAGATACTCTTATAGTAGTAGAATTATGCATCCTATCCCGCTTGAATATCAGATATTTATTTGAAATAACCAAAGATAGGTGGTTTACAGAAAAGAAAATAGTGACCCCCCCCCCCCCCTAAAAAAAAATAAAGAAAAAGAAAAATGGGCCCAAAAATTAAGAAGAGTGAATAATGGGTTGCTTAATGTAAGCAAAATAATTGTATAAACATTAAGAATAAGGTAAAAAAAATACTGATTTCAAAAATAAATGATTCACAGAATAATGAAACTCTGCATTTTCTGCATATCAAATGTAATATTGATAATTGACAATAGACTAGTAGATCATTTGGAATGAAATGTTGAACTGGTCGTAATCGGAACTGGTTCATTGATGTTAGCGACGCAATTTCTATACATTCGTAAGCATCGGTTTTTTACCTCTAAAATCACGATCTTGTACGAGTTAACAAATCTTGACGTATCATTTCGTCTACTATTGTAGACAAAGTTAACCTTACACCCTTCTCCTGCATTGTGTCAACAACAGTTACATATTACAACACTGATAAAACAATGCGTGACAGAGGTCAGACCAAGATATCTATTGACAACAAAAAGCTCTGCAATAGTGGAAAAAAACGAAAACATAAATTTCATACGTCCGAAGCGCTATTTTGATTTATCTTCATCATTTATTCTCGGAGCCGAATATTTGAAAGCCAAGATGTAAAAGTACAGAAACAATTGAAGAGCTATATGACATTAATAAAAGTCAAATCAGTCGAAGGTCAACTTTGCCCGATGAAGTTGAAACCTTAGTTTCTTTATAATTTCAAATTTATAAATGGACAAGTGAAAGGAATTGCAAAATCAAAACGTCTCTTTCACCGACATGATTCCTACGTCTTAAGTTTCATATTAGTAAGATCCATAATTCACTACAATTTAAAACAACAAAGTATTGGTAAGGGCTGGAAGACTGATGCTCGAGGACGGATGACATTGTCTTTGATTTTTTTAGGGGTATAACATTGTTTTTTCACTACCAATAAATGTTAAATATATTTTAATATTCTCCAAAACAATTGATTGATAGGCAATGTTTTTATATTTTGTTGGACATTTGGGCTATCAAGGATAAAATATAGTTCAGGTGATCGAATTTGTACTCCATCAGATTCCAGATTTCTCTTAATGTCGGTTGACTACCAGTACTGTCTCTGTTATAAAACTGAATGTTCAGCTTCTCAGTACTAGTACCTCATACCACAAACCAAATATGGTCAAATATACCTAATGTCATCTTATCCACTGCTTGTTATCCCATATATCGAAATTATTACAAAAATTAAAATAGTTGTTTTTCCTTGTTTGGTTTTAATCAGATATGAATAAAAATTGATAAATGGTATCATTTATGCAGTACAGTGACAGATTCCAAAAAAGGGGGGGATTACGGGGTAGTGTCGTCATACATATGTCGTTGATACAGACAACATGATATATCATGTAAAAATTATGATACAACAGGAAATTTTCATATGCAGGAATTTTACAGAATAAGCATATTTCTTACTGAATAGAGAAAAATGGCCAAAAGAGTTACAGAATACAGAAATGTAGACTCCCCTCCCCTAATCCAGACCCTCATATATCATTGTGACGGATAGTTTTGTTCGATCTATTTAACTGTTTTTATTTTCGAAAAGAATATTTATACAAGGTGTTGTTAATAAATGTAACGGACAATATATACCATGCCCTCTCAGCCGACGTCGTAATTTCATTTCAATGAAAGAAAGTATTTGAAAGCTTCTCTCCCTGTGCAACTATGGTATTAAACTTCTTAGGCAGAGCAATGTTTATGACTATTTGCATAATTGTTAAATCGTATTAAATTCTGTCTCAAATTTATATTAAAAATAAAAGTTTCATATCTTGAATATTGAAAACAGGTTAAAATTATTTACTTGCATTAATATTAATATAAAACCATCCGATTAGTTTTTTTCTATAATTGAAAAAAGCAACTCTGTTACACTTAAACAATTGACTAATTAAAATTGTCACATGGTATCTTCTTATGTCGTCTGAATTACAATGTATATTAATGATCTGTGATTTATATATTCGCCATCCGTAATAATTATCTATATAAATAAAATGTTTATTTGGCATGCCATCCTCGATAGAAGTGCGGACGTGAAAGAAAGCACTATTCACCAAAACGTTAACGGAGATTACATTCCAAGGAGCTTACATTTCGATGATTTCGTCGTTTATAAAACATTATATGTGTATCTGAAGATAGAAGTTGTATTAAAATTAAGTCTTGACACCGATATCGATCTGTTGGATGTAGAATTTATTTTCAAAATTGGTGTTTGCTTAGAATAGACCATTCCACGGAGATTACATGCTTAACAATTCTCTACAGTTTTCAACTATGGTCTTTTATCCGTTAACGGAAATTACAGGTTTACGAAGAAAACATTATGACGACCGGTACGATCACTATCGTTGTGCAATATGTACTAAACTTTATAAAAAAAAAAAAATAAAGATAATAAAGAAATATAAAAATCTCAGATATAAGTATAACAAGCTACGGGTATGTAACTCGAAGTCGTTAGTTTTACTGTGTTACGGTGGGACAAATCAGCGTCATAACATGGGCGCTTTACCGGAGAACCAGTGTTAAACGAGTTACTAATTTGTGATAGCTACTTAAAAATAAACTACCTCTTGACATTAACTGGCTTCAGTAGAAATCAAACTGCGATAGTATGAAAGATACATTTTCCTATCAATTACATTTGACATTATGAAAATCGATGACACTTTAATGATTTTACAAGCCATTGCGGGTACAACACCCGCGATATTTTTAAGAACCTGCTTCATGTTTACTTTGACGTTTTACACATCAACGTAGAAAATAGTACTCTTGTTGTTGATGCCATGCACAGTAACCTAACAATTTTAAAGTAAAATCACGTTTTTTATTATTTCAGGTATGAACAAATACACTTTATATTTACAAACTATAAGTCAAGTTAATCAATCAGACCTAAAGGCGCATAATTTGTACTCAAAATATTGAAAAAAATATGCACTTCAACTTAACAAATAGTGTTTTTTAGGGTATTACACTGATATAATTTTCAGGATTTAGAGGATTACATCAATATGAAATATTATTCTATGTGATATGTTTTATTTTGAAAAAAAAAGTATCAGCTCTGGCTGCTCGACATACTTCAAAGCTGTACGTTGGTTTATCGTGCAAACCATCCAGGCAGTAGCATATTCTGGTTTGCATGCTGATATTTGTATCTGCATTAATTTAACAACATTCAGACTATAACAAGTGCATTTTACCATAGAAGATTCATCATATTTTATTGATAATAATTGGGATTGCAGGCCTCCAAGATGGATTGAAGAAGCTTTCTGATAAGCAATTTGATAATCTTTTAAAGACTGGATCGTATAAATGCTACTGGAACAGGGTATTTTTGACGGGCAAGTTCGCAGTAGGCAAGACAACATTAGCTAAGATTTTGGTGGGGGACGAAGCTCCAATAGAACGTGAATCTACGGATGGCATATGGATATATCTTGGAAGAGCGGGAATGAATATAAAGGAGAGAATTTGGATCTTCTTAGAGAAAGGTAAAAGTTAAGCAATTTTGAAAAAAAATATGAATGACTAATTCTTCTACTGTATTGAAAACCTAATTGAATGCATGCATTCACATATTCGATATTTCAAAAAGCTGTCATGACTGCTGTAAATAAATGCTGTCTCCTCTTCTGCTAAATTATAGGATTGAGTATTGTTTGTTTTTTGAAGTAAAAAGGCGCCTTGTGAACGTTTAACATTTCAAATTATATTTCCTAAAGCTTTCATACTTAATGATTATGTAAAGTTGACCATTTTATATCAGTATCTCAAAACAAAGTTATACTTGGACTACTGTTGGCCTAATGCATCATAAAGATTCCTAATACACTGTATTGTCTGAATTGTTAAAACCTTTAAACGTTGTAGCATTGTTTCTCATCGTAGAAAGGTGATAATCCTACACTATCAATTAGATTTGACTTATGTGAATTTATAGAAATTCGGAAATGTTTTGTCGAATAGTGACACCTTGTGAATACTGCTTCTTTGATATCGTATGTTTAAACGCTTTCATTCTTTATTAGTTTGTTTTAAAGTATGCTTATTTGACAAAAATAGTGGTTTGTTTACAATACACATATTTCCGTTATCCTCATGATGGTTAGAATGTAAATCTTCAGCGAGGTTTAACGATTTTTCTGTCTTATTATTTTTTAACACACTACATATATGTGCCATATACTAGTATGCATTTTTGATATTTTGTTTTTATCTGTCATCTTGCCATATGTTTAAACAAAAATACTACCACATGATACAATATCATTAAAATCCTACATATAAATTTCTTTCCCAAATACAAGTTTGTTATGTCTAGTTAACATTTTTACCAATCAATTGTGAGTATTTTCTATCTATCATTGAGAAAGACTCTTATATAACTTTCAACAGGTATCATATTTGATATTACAGAAATAGTCAAAATAAACAATAGTTGTTGAAGTTCAAATCAATTAGTGTTATCAAACGCACTATAAGAATAATTTTTGAATAAAACATGAAATGAAAATGACGAAACTGCAAGTCCAAATGTATAAAAAGTTGCTGAACGGGTGGTATATTGCTACAAACCTATCCCTCTATCCGATCCGCTTTTCATAACTTTGTTACATATTTATCAACTCCTGGCATATTTTGAAATTTGGTCATAGATTTTATAATGAAGATTTGTTCTATTAAGCGATTTCTATTCTGCTATGCAGCCTCCATCTGTATGATCTGTTTGGCAATCGTTTATTCCCCTTTTAATCTCCTACAAATAAAGTTTATGGGTATAAAGGAATCAATATATATGTCCGTCTGTCTGTCCGTCCATCTATATTCTCGTCTGCACATATATCCAGACCAGCTACATTCTCCTTGTTTTGATTCACTTCAAACATTTTTTTTAATAGTGGACCATGATATGCAAATATCATCATATAAAGGATGTATGATTATGCTTAGTTTTTTCGGAAGTGTGCTCCTTTCTTAGGAACTCTTTATCCTTTGCCGATCATTCCTTGTCAACACAACTCCTACTACATAGTTTATCATATCTACATGACAAAAGTTCACAGTACGATCCTTATAATATGCAGATGTGAGTAGGCGCCATGCCCCTCATAACTTAGAAAATGTTAGCCCTGTCAAGCTTCTATTGTATCATTTCAACGTCTTACAGAGAGTTCTTACCAAAAATATATTAAACAATGGAGAAATTGGTCAATTATGATAATGTTTTAGGAAGAGGATATATTTGGTCGTCTTTGTTAGGTTTGAAGCTCGATTTGTAGTCTGAATATGAGGAAACCGGGAAATATATTTTCAGATTTGTCTAGAGTTTACATATTTTTACCTTCCATAACCAATTTGATTTTTCCTAAAACAGTTCGGTTTTTCTCAATTGAAAAAGAAAATGTGTTTAAGCTTTCATATAATTACAAGACATTGGTAGAAACTGTGATTTTTCACAAATAAACAACTTAAATACTTCAACAAAGATATAGTTGGACAAAAATTGGAAGTAACTATGTAGAGCAGCTATATCTAAAAACCATGTGGTTAAAAAAAATAATTAATGTTGTCTTAATTAGGGGAAAAAGGACAAATATTTTATCAACTCCAGCTATCCATTATCTGATCATATGAAATCTTGTAAAAATGGAAATTATTACCCCTACTTATGCAACAGTCTACAAGAATAAAAGGCATTACATAACAGCCTAATACAACCAAGGAAACAATATGTTGTTTCAAAAGAATTATTTTTATATCCACTACATTTTAAAGCAACTGGATCGTTCAAAGATATTTTTGTATACAGAAAAATTGACAACAAAACAGATAATTTTGGACTTGCAGATTTTTGCTGATTAATTGAAACACAAAAATATCATCAATACCCATCTGATATCTAAATATTTGATTACTCCAAAGCTTTGAACTGTTATACATGTTATATATTCCACAATTTATGATATATCTTTCATACCCTACAAATCAATTATTTTCTCTTACCAACTCAAATTGTAAAGCAAATAAAGCACCCTTACCAGTGCACATTTAAGCAAAAGATGAAAATGTGACTATTGTAGGCTTACATTTACACTACTCTGTTATAATTTGGTCAAACTATTTGCATCCATTTATATTAGATATATATAGCATACGCAATATAGATTGTCGAAAGCCATTGTTGTTGTCACGGGTTTAAGAAAGTCGGCTTTTCGGATTTTCATTTGTTACCAATTATCTTCAATTTTGGTATTTTTTATTTTTTTTTGTCTTTATGAGAAGTGAATACTTATGTTAACAATGAATTTAATTGCCTCAATTAGTACAGTAATGTATTATGATTTTACGTTAATGCTGATCTTTGATCAATTATATTGATAAAATTGCTAGGTGATGAAGTAAAACACCCAATCCAAAACAAAAACACGTATATATAAATCAACAAACGTATGTGGAAGAGGAATGTTTTTCAATTTAGTTGTGATTTACACTGCAGTCATAATGCAAGAACTGTGTTTTAAAGAACTCCAAAATATAAGTCAGAAATATGACAGTTGTTATCCATTCGTTTTATGTGTTTGGGCCTTTGATTTTGCCATTTGATTAGGAACTTTCCGTTTTGAATTTTCCTAGGAGGTCGTTTTTTTTGTTATTTTACTTTTAAATTACTAATGCATTGTGATCATCACATTCTATGTATAGACATGTATTCAGTTCTCAGAAAATTGAAAAGTAAAATCTTAGATATTTTGAAAATCTAAAAAATGTTCTTTTTTAATCCGCCGTTACAGAAATGGATCTGAACAATCTGGGTTGCTTCGAATTTAAGTAGTTGATAAGGATGAGTGGAATTTGAACAAACTTGATACTTAGTTTGATGATTGCAGGTCATTCTCTGTCAAACATATATATTCAAACTAAAATTTTGCTTTGGTAAGGGTAATGTTTAACCTTTTTAATGAGATTTTGTTTGACATAGAATCGATCTCTTAGGCTCATAAGAAGCCTTAAAGATATTTTCACTGAAGAGATGAATTAGATTTGGGGTTTACGTAAGAAAAATGAGAACATTTTTTAAAAAATATGATCATATCAAAATCTGAACTTGTCCGTTTGTCAAAAGTCAGTAGCTACAGAAATTGCTTGAAACTATTTAGATTGCATAGACAAAATATTTAAATCTTTTCAAGAACAAAAAATACAAAATTGTTGGTAATTTCAGGAATTTTAAGCAATTATCAGTAAAACTTATAAGTTGTTAAATCTCTAGGTTTCACAACACATCAAATACGTTTTTCCACAGTGACTATATAATGTCAAGTCAAGAGTTTGTTTTAGTTTTAAAAAATATTTTGAATATAGAGGTGGGTAAAATGACCAAAACTAAAACAACCAAACTTTAGATAATGTGTAGTTGTTTTTCTTTTTAATTTATGGCTACGAAAAGAGCTTTATACAATCTTGAGTAATACTAATGAACGTGTTTAATATGGATGCAGGTAAATTGAACTAAAACTGTCTTGATATGTGATTTCAACCCATCATTTGTAAAATATGTGTTTTTTTTTTGTTTTGGATAAATTTACAAGTGATAGGAATTATATTTTACATTGCTATAATATTTTGATCAAGAAAATGATCGATTTCTTGTGTTCATAAGATGTCATCTACATTGTAGGATTCAAGAAAGCTAAATAATTTTGAGTCAAATATATTTTTTTTTATTTTTTTCAAAACGGAAGCAACAGAAATAACAGAAAACAAGTTGAATATTATACATTTGCTGTATGATAATACTACTGGTTTATGTCAGATTATTGCTACGTTGAATGATTCAAGGTGTTCAGTGTTCAGTTTAGAAAATGAGAGCTTTAAGGTGACGTTGGTTGCGATAGTGATTCTATTTTCAATATGTTAAGGGATTATACTATTCATTCTATCCAGTTATCATGGTTATGGTGTTCATCGGAAAGCTTAAACAAAGTTCAATGAAATTATAACCATCAATTAAATGATTAAAAGATATTTGGGTGAAACAAATGCAAAATAAGGCAAACAATACAGTCAATGAATACAAAAATATAAAGAAAGTTCATTATAAGTTGCTTTTTATATTTAAAGAAAAATAACAAAGGGAGGAAGTGAAGGTGTTAAGAAAAGTGAGAGTGCTATTCATCTTCATTGTAACCCAAAATGTAATTTTTATCACTTTGAGTGCTTTGTCATCATTTCTCTAAAAAAAAAGAACCTTCTCTGCAAAAATTATTGGGCTAGTTGGAACAAAGCTTGGCCATAATTGGTGGCGCTAGTTAAAATATTGGTTAAAATAAGAACATATGGGTGAAATTCAAATTTTGTTTATCATCTTAAAAACTACTATGAATAGAGGCAGTCTGAGGGTGTCAAACATGATCAGAATGGTGGGATGTTCCTACTTCAGCTGTCTATTTATACCAAAATGTTAGAGGATTTGTTATAGGAGTTATCGCCCTAAATAACGATTTTTTTCCCCCATTTATTTGCATTTTTGTCTATTATCATGATAACAGATAGATACATGTAGAAACTTTATATAGCAGAAACAAAACAGTATCTACCAATAAGCCAAGATGGAAAAAAATGGCCTTTCGACTATTTAAAAAAAGGGAGTTTGTTGTCCTAAAATTACTATTATCATCAATTTTTTGCATTTTGCCTATCATATTGACAACTATATTAGATATACAAAAAACTGTAAAAAACAAAGATGTTCATCAAGACAAGATCTACAAATAGGTCAACATAGTCGAAATTGTCAGGTGACTCACTGTATGACCTAATGCCAATGCCCTTAAATGTTATTTTGCACTTTTTGCTACATCTAAAAAGAAAAAGGTCGATTAAGCATAAAAGAAATCATCAGTATTCTAATATAACGTTCTTCTTTCGCCTTGGAAACAAACCATGTTATGATTCCAAAAGAGCATGGACTGCGCGTGATTGACGTCAAAGTTGAAAAAAATTGCAACGTCTGTTGAAGTTTGAACAACACTGGAGATCAAAATGGACATTTTTATGACGTTTTGATATTATTTAATCACAAATGAACGCCTTTGTAATGTGTTTTAAAGGTGCGCTTTAGAGTATAAAAGTTATAAATTTTCCTATTTCCGGAATAATTGTATCACACCATGCTCCAGGCTTATTTCAACATGGATAGACGTTATATTTGTCATCGTTTTACCACTCGTTGCGCTCGGTCTAGAGATATTGGTAATTATAATCCCTACCCAAGTTAAAATGAGCATACAGCATGACATGAACAAATTATTCCGTAAATACAGATGTACATAATAAACAAAAAAAGATTTTACTCTATATTCGTATTTACAATGTTGGATAACGGCCATTGTTGTGGATGCATATGGATTCTAGTTTGCGATACAGGCTCTTCAGCGCCTCTTATTGTAGTTAACATTTGGTGTTTTATGTTAAAATTTACAAATCATCTTAACCTTTTTCTGGAATAGTTTACAAAAGCTTCTTTATAATTAAGAGATACTATTTAGTGTAAAATTTGTATGTTCCCCTCGGTTTCTTTCGTACTTGACTGATATATAAACTTGAGATTTCCGTAGCAAACATAACACTAAAACATTGATAGCAGTGTTGCATACGAGGCACAGGCCTCTGGGAAACTTGTAAAAGCTTGTCCAGACATTTCGACTGGCAAAATTCAATAATCCGATGTGACAAAAAAAATTAGATCAATGATTCGGATTTCAAATTATAATTATTACTGAAAGACACATTGTTTTACAAACCTGTAGTTAATCTATTTTATTGTTCTGCTAATTTGCTTGAGTTAAAATTATTTGTACATTTAAACACACAGCTGAACAAACATGCAAATAATAAGAGATATATCGCTAGCTCATCTATGCATATTATGGGAAACAATCCTCAAAATGTGCAAGTACATTTAAACCAATTCAATTCACCTATAACTAATGAGCAGCAAATATTGTAATTGATATGAAATAAGAAGAAGCCAGAAAAAGTTATTTAGTCAGTGGCCACAACATTCATTTCGTAGTGCAATGGTGTAATCGTGCGGATAAATATATAGACATTCGTGTGGTTTACTGATTGATATGTTACAAATAATGTATATCTGCAGAAATAATCAAATACAATAAAATAATTCATCGGACGTTTAGATAAGATAAACAGATAACTTGATAAACAACTTCTAGTTACTCACAGCATTCAATATTTCGAAGAAATATAGCAGTTTACTTTAAATATAGAAAACAATGTGCTATCTGTATAATTCATGAATTTATAAGTGATAACAATTTGATCTGCAATGCTTAGTACAAAATGTAGGTATGGGTATTTAATTTTTACAATCATTGCATAGAGTTCACAAAAAACTTCATCGAAAACAAGATTTAGCAACAAGAAACAAACCAAAAATGTTTTGTACTGCGTTGCTTCTTGATTGGTCAACAGTTCCAGTTCAACTAGTGACTAAATCACAATATTTTCCTTAACATTACGAACAAACAAAATTTGTGAAATTTATCATCAACACTACCGTATAACAGATGTATACTAAGGTCCTAGAAACCTTCTGTTTCGTTATGCTACAGTATTACTAACAGTAACGTTTATGTTGGCTTTAACATGATAATTAACTGCAGCATTCAGGATTATTGATTAAATTTTAATTATAAATGAGACTAATAATTTGTAAGATGATAGAATTTAAGGAAATCACGAGACCATGGAAAAGAATAATAATTCATGGATTGTACATTAAAATCGTAAATCAACAGACACATTTTATGATAAAAACATACATGATAAAGGTACACATAACGAAATTAGATAATGCAAAAATAAATGATTGAACTTTAAAATATTTCAGGTACAGTTTTAAATGCAACAGTACAGAGTTTGCTAAGGAGTGAAGAAATAACGAATCCAGGCGCTATGAAACCTAGCGAAGAATTACTAAATCCATGTGCTGCAAACCCAAGTGTCAGTTTTCCATATGAGATCAAAAAGAAGTCAAAGCTCAAAGCTTTCCTCCATCTCCCAAATCGAATATACAAAGTATTTAAAGGTATTGTGTGTGTTATGTTACAAATGATGTTAGTTAATCAAATAAAAAAGTCCCATACATATCTTATGCATACACGTATATATTACCAAAACAACCAATGTATGCAGATTGTCTATCAGCTGTACAAACCAGCTAGAATTGTTTATTCATTTCGACGTCTACACCTACTCTCCCTGAACAAACCATACATGTTCCTTTGTACACAAATAGGAACATTTGCCACATTTTCAACAATTGCATAATGTTTAAGGTAGGGGATGTAGGTCCATGTTCTACAATAGTTTTGGAAACCATTGTAACAATGGAAGCCACAGGGTGAAACAATCAGTTTTTGAAGAACAGTTGCGTGGTCTGCCATACAAGGGTTATTTAAGTGACTTGTTACTAAAGTGCTGATCATAAAGCACCGTTTATCGTCCTTAAAATGTATTGTTCATGTTAGTTAGTTAGATAACAAGTAAACCGATTCCAACTTCACCAACTCACCATGAGAGAAATGATCAAAACATAAAAACATAACAAATCATATCATAGTTTTGTCATCTGTTTGTTTCCAATCAACAGTCCTCATCTTAATCTAATAAAAACCTGTCAAAGAAATCATTTCACTGAATACGTTTAACATAAATTGCAACATTATTTGTGAATGAGAATAAAATATATGATATATTTCGGTTCGTTCTTTTCGGATAAGATAATGACATCATGTATATGAAATAAATAACTCCAATTTACTTTTAGAAATTACAACTAGCTAGTGTCCAAGAGTACATTTTTATGTCAAATATATTAATTTAACTTATAACTTCACTTTCCGCTTTGGGGTCGCCGTGGCCGAGTGATCTAAGTAGTCAAACTACTGTATCACTGGCAGGTGCACTCGACTCCAAACATAATTGACTAGGATTGTCAGTTTTTTAACCGAAGGTCGGCGGTTCTCTCCGGTCATGCCGGCTTCATCCACTAAAATAAACTAACCAACATGAAATAGAACAATAGTTTTGAAAGTAGCGTTAAAACACAAATCAATCAATTAATCAATCACTTTCCGCTATATAGATAATGTCCTCAATAATGCAAATGTTTGTGACTATGGTGAATGCATATAGAGTATACATCCACCAGTTGAAACGATATTCCAGGGCTGGCGTTTCCTATCCTGATTTCCTTGATAGAGGGTTCTTCTCACTAGGAGGCTATTAAACCAATAATTACAAGTAGTGAATTTAAATTCATCCCTTCGAAAATTGTACGGACGCCCTCACTAGTTGGTTGCCCGTTATGGAATATCTGTTTCAAACATTACGATGGATATGTTGCAATTCAATCGTCGTAACTGCAATCCCGCCCTTCTTTTTTCCATACTGTGACCTACCGAATTATACTTTTCACCGGGTTTGTACTTACATGAGCAACACGACGGTTGCCACATGTCGAGCAGGATCTGCTTATCCTTCTGGAGCACCTGAAATCACCCCACGTTTTTTGGTGGATTCGTGTTACTCAGTATTTAGTTGTCTATGTTGTGTTTGTATACTGTTGTGTGTCTTTTGGTCTTTTTTCTTGTCAGTATATTTTTTACCTATGAGTTTGAATGTCCTTATGGTGTCTTTCGCCCCTCGTATGCATTACAACCAACAAGTATGTATTGATTGGTAATATAAGCGGGAGGTTTGGCTAGCCATAACACCAGGTTTAAAGCACCATTTTTTCTTAAAATGTCCCGTATCAAGTCCGGAATATGGCAGTTGTTATCTACAGTCCGTTTCTATGTATTTTAGCGTTTTCTTTTGTTGTAGTTCAATATTTCTGTTGTTCCGTTGTTTTCCTATTAAAGTTGACGTGTTTCCTCAGTTTTAGTATGTTACCCGGATTTGTTTTTGCTTAATCGAATTATGAATATTGAACAGCGGTATACTACTGTTACCTTTATATCATTTCTATATCTCAACCAATATAAGATATATGTTCCTCTTTTACAATACTGTTTTTCTATTCTAATATGAAATATTGTATTTGTATACTTGAACGCCAATAAAAAGGAACAGTTTCCAAAACGATCTATTATATAAATAAAAAAGTTAAGTACCATGTTAATCTCAAAACAATTTTGTAGAACATATACATTAAATCAATACTGTTACTGTACCTACAGAATTTAATAGATACAGATGTACTTTTATTTTCACTATTAACATTTTCTGGAAAAATTTCTGAGCAAATTAGCATGTTAAGTTTAAGAATGAAAGGTTGAATTTAAACACCAATAAACTGTAAAAATAACTTTTATAACTTATTCTCATTAAATTCACAAAAATCAAATATTTCATGAAGACATGCGACACTATTTCACTTGTATAAGAACTCATACTTGTAACGTCATCAAACAGGTTTATAGATGTATAAACTTTTTGGTTGAAATAACGCCCACCTTTTAAATATGACTTGTAATAAAACATTGTATTTTTTGCTGTATAGGTAAAAAAACTACAAGTATCAAAACACCAGTCGATAGTAGTACTAATATGGAGGGAACTTCAAGAAAGGATTCACCAAAGACCATAGAAATATCAGATGACGACATTATCAAGCTTGTTCGTTCGGAATGCATGAAAGGAAACTACGAAATGACAATTGTGCCAATTGACTTGTGGGATTTTGGAGGTCAAAAAATTTACCACATGACGCATCAGTTGTTCATTACAAGTAGGGGCACTTTTGTTCTAATTTTCAATGGTGGAGAAAGGATACATGAAGAAGATGGAGGTATGTTACGTGTATTCTAAAATTACAAATGTATGCTTTTTGGAGAGGTGACGGTCAAGAAGGTACTTTAGGATAACACCAACATTCAATTTTACACTTGATGCATTTACAAATTGTAAAAATGTATATCCCACATTCATTTATCGACCGGGTGAAGTCGAAAAAACGTAAACACTATCATTCACCTGTACGAAGTGAGGGTACCCTTCATTCGAAACTCTCTGAAAAAGCAAACAACCTGAACATATAATTCTAATTAGCCTTTATATTAGAAACACATACAGAAATTATAACTGAAGAACCCTGTACACAATTTATAATCGTTATTTTTTAAATCTTAAATGGAATTGATAGAGTTTCAAGGGATATAGTAATTAACGCAATACTTAATCTTCATAACGGAACAGTACTTAAGATTTTTAAAGTTAACATGAGAAGTGCATGCATAGATATAGATGACTTTTAGGTGTAGAATCTTCTTCTTTCTTTCTTTTCAGTGGTATTAAAAACCGGAATGCTTTGCCAGATTATGTAAAAGGTATTCATGTGAATACAAAAATAAAATTGGAGTATAAAGTAAAAAAACACCTAATGAGTAAACTCAATGTCAGATGCAGATTTTATATTAAATTAGATTGCTTTTTATCCAAATGTTTAAGCTGTGATTCATGGATACTATTTATTGCTGTAAAATTGAATGATAAATTATTAATTTTATTATCAAAACTATGAGGACCCCATTGGAAATAAGCGTGTTTGCTTTCATGTGTCATCCTTAGGTTAAGACATTTGAGGTACCTAACGTCACATCAATTGCTATATTTTAAGGTTGTATTTTGTATTTGTATATATTGCCGTTACCTGAATAAATATTATTATTTTATTATTATTATTATTATTATTTCAGAGATATTCAAGTATGAGTAATTTAACTCATTTGGGTTTGTTGTGTCTGTTAAAAGAGTGGACTTTTTACCGAGCCAATTCATTTCAATAAATATATCAAAATTTGTAAACAATATTGTATTAACTAATGCATATTGCTAACAGTGTTTCCAAAATCAAAACTAATTCCCAAGAAGTACTCAACCACGTTATATATCATTATACTCTTGAAGAGTAACTCTGTATTGTTAAACCACATTTTCGATGACTCATTTGTCTATCCTACAGGTTTTAAGATTGTGTTTATTAACACTCCAGTTTATAGATGGCTGTTATGTTCACAACCTCATAATTTATTATTTTCAATTTAAAAAAAAGACGATCATAACATACAGCATAGCAAATTTAATAACATAAAGCTGGGAGAACAATGAAGGAGATCGGTACCACTCAAAACAAAAATGTCAACCTATGCCTCGCCTCGCGTGATAATGTCTTCTCAAGGTTACAATTTACTTTATCGCCATCACAGCTCTGTGTGATATATGTAGTACGTATCTGCGTGTTTAAATGTCCACAATTCAACTGTTTATGTTAAGGTCTTGTGTTAATGTTATATCTGTATACAGGCATATGACTTATAAATTAAACATGTAATTGTTTTGATGCAGCATACCTTGTCCATTGGGTGAATTGCGTACTTACATATTGCACGACATTGAAGGAAAATGAAGAGTTTCCACAAATTTTATTTGTCGCAACTCACAAGGATCAAGTCAAAGTAAGTTGATATGATTTTAAAAGCGAGGCGAAAGATACAAAAATGACATTCAAACTCATAAATTGAAAATGATCAAAAGAAAAGACAAAACGAAAAATAACAGTATAGAAAACACAATTTAGAAAAATATAGACTGAACAACACGAAACCCACGAAAAGACAGAGGTGATCTCAGTAGCTCCGGTAGGGTAAGTAGATCCTGCTCTACATGTGACACCCGTCGTATTGCTAATGTAAGAACACATCCGGATAAAAGTCTTATTCGGTAGGTCACATTCGGGGGAAAGAGGACAGGATTGCGATTACAACAATTTGAACATATCCGTCGTCATCTGTGAAACAGATTTCAATCACGGTCATTACGCTTTAATATGTTGATTACATTTATGATATATAGTCATAATCTGCAGACTAATTTGAGTATCCTTCTGTTAAAGTGATATTTGCGGAGGCTGAATATTGTTAACATGTTAAAAAATCGGTACAATTGACTTTGTATCGAGTCTGTCATAAAGGTTGTGGAAGTAAAACATAACAATCCTGCATTCCGTTTTACAAAAGCTTTCTGTAACATCTTGATCAATTTACTTAAGTTTTGTAGATTTCTTGCCTTCAGTTTTATCATAAGATGTTAGAGATAAAGCTTGAGTTTCGTTCCGGTTAAAGTATTGTTGCGGTCGGTGTACGCACTTTCCGTTTTTGGATTTTCCTTGGATATTGGTATTTTTGGTTTTTTTTTTACTTTTTTGTTTATATTATTTTTTATTGCTTTTGAATCAATCGATTAGATACTAGTGATAATACCATAATAAGTAATTTGTAGATACTCGGAACTAATTAAATCAAACACCACTGTGACCGGTCATTGTTTTTCTTTAAATAAATTGTTAAATTATGAAATAGAATGGCACCAAACATCCCTGACAACATAATGCTAGCCCGATTAAGTGTGTATACTCCTGTTCTTTGTTGAAATGTTATTGCATGCAATACCTTCAGAACGCTGGTTTACTTGATGAATGGATAAACGAGTTTTCCAAAAAAATTGTACATATTGATAAACTGCCTTAAGTTAAAAATGTTTCCAAAACTAGATGAAATTATGCGTTTCAAGATATCTGGTGATGCATAATTCAGTACGACAGATGTTTGCGTGTGTCTTTAGAACATGTCCATTTTTCGAATTTTCCAGCGCACGAAATTTGCAGTTACAGTGAAAAGAGTAATATAGTACTAGATCATCAAAAAATAATGTGCATATTAATAAACTGCCTTAAATTAAAATGTTTCAAAAACAGGTTAAAATAATGCGTGTTACGTTAACTTGTGATGCTTAACTGTGCATGACAGATTTGTGCTTGTTTCATTAGCACATGTCCATGTTTCTAATTTTCCAGCGCACGAAATTTGTAGTTACAGTGGTAAGAGTAATATGGCTTTAACATATCTCTGATCCCTAGTTAATGAAGAACAGCTTTTGTTTCAAAGAGATAGACAGTTTTGCGCAGCCACAAACAAATGCTCAAAATGTCTTATAGTTATAAAATGTGATGGTTAGTAGCTTTTATACATGTATATTTCAGGGTGACATAGAGGAGCAGAGGCATTCGTTAGAAAACTCCATCGAAATACTCTTTCAAAATCATGGAGGGAAAAAGCATCTTAAATATCGACCACTAATTTTTGTGGACGCAAGAAACAAGGACGACAAAGATATAGATGTGTTAAAGAAGCAGTTAGTAGAAGTTGCATTGGATCATCCTCGATGTGGAGAATTGATGCCGACCAAATTTGTACCGCTTGAACTTCAATTAGCACAGAAAGGAGAGGATAAACAGAAAATAGTTACAATTGAAGAACTGAAAGACATGAACAATCAAAATGAAAACATGGCATTGGATAACGATGAACTGAAACTGTTTCTGAAGGTTAATCATGCTCTAGGAAAACTGATCTACTTTGACGAAGCTTGCCTGAGAAATAAAGTTATCATAGATCCGCCATTTTTAGTAGATGTGCTACGCTCCATCGTAACTGAGGAACAGTTTTGGCCACAACATCTCCTTCACATATTTAAAGCACTTAAAGACAGTGGAAAACTGCTGAAAAAGGATTTATATGAAATATGGGAACAAGAATGCTTCCAGACGATCTTAGAACATAAGGAGTATATGGTAGAAATGCTAGTTCATTTGGATATAATTTGTAGACAAAAAGATGATACAAATGGAATAGACAATTTCTTAATACCATGCATGATTAGTACAAAAAGAGAAGACAACTTAGATATACCGTTTGACAGAAGCATTCATTTGGCGTATACGTTTCGGGACGAAGTTGTACCACCAGCTATTTTATACAAGTTTATTGCGACTTTCATAACAATATGGAAGTTACAGATCAGTAAAAACTCAAGCTTGATGCTTTTTACTGACAGTGCTGATGTTAGCATTGACAAAGAACATGATATGCGATTTGATATTCAGAGAAACAAATTAATCATTACTCTTTCACACAAGACAAGACAGACTTCCGTTGTATCCACGATTGCATCAACAGCTCAGGAATGTCTTACACATGCTATTACACAAATTTCAAACTTTTATTTCTCAGTTACAGAGGATACTGCTTGTACTATAGATTTGCCGTTTACAATTCAAATTGGTATAGTTTGTGGAACAGATCTTTGCTTTTTTGACCATAAATTGTCATCTAAGTGTGAATGGACATGTCCTGATCACAAAAGAAAACACAAGACAGATATTGTATCCAGATGGTTTGCGGACAAGGTATCGATTTGGCCTATAATTTATACACCTTTTATTTTGAAAAAAAGTGTCGATTACAATTATGATAGGATATGGTCAACCGATTCATCTTTCATAATTAATTTATTTCATATACTTTTTAAGAGAATGTGCATGACCAAATACTAAACAGACAAATAGAAAAAAATGTGTGTCTTATGTAGTTTTCACTTAGGATTTACCTTATAGTCTACATAATTATGCTAGCACATAATACATGTAAAAAGTCATTTCATAACGAAATCTTCAAAAAACACTTTTTTATTCAAGCTGACTAAATAATGATTAACATTTCCATTGTTCAGGCATATCCACTCCAACAATGTCCTGGAAAAAATCACTACAAATTCAAACGATGCTTTATTTTATGTAAAATAGTAGAAAACAAAATATACGAGGTATCCATCCATGACACAAAATCAGAAACTTTATAAAAACGTTATCAAGCTGAAATACACGTATAAGGGCATCAGTAAAAACCCGGAGAAGGAACTAGAGCTAAGCATGATGTAGATACAGTTTCAAATTTTAAATGATTTCCTCAGTTTCATAATTGGAAACTTCATTTAAACAATGTTTGATCTGTACTGAAGTACAGACGTGGTTGGGGACTTTCAGTTCATTAGCTGAGATACTGACTAATAACAATAAGATAAAATACGATATTTTCAATCGAATGGATACAATTTCAAGGGCTTAAAGTCCCTTCATATTTTCCTTGATGTAGGGTTTCTGCTTGCAAGAAAGCCAATGCACCGATGAATTCAAACTATCAAATTGGAGCCATCCCTTCCAAATTGTTTATGGTCGCCTGTATCATTTTGTTGATTATTGTAAAATATGTGTCACAGATGATTATGAATATGCTATAACTGTTGTAGCCATAATTCCATTGTAGCAGCAATGGACTGCTCCTTGTGTTGGTAGGGTTCATGCTGCTCGATCTGTTATTATCTCTGACGTGGTTTGTGAACTGATCTTTTTTCTCATAATGTTTTAGTATTTGATAGTCCCTTTGTATATTCTCCCCCTGTTCGTTACCCCATCAATATATATTAAGTTGAAGAACAACGAAGGGCCGTTGATACCATTATGGTTATAACATAGCATATTACGGGCATGTTTCTTGTTTATTTATGTCATATACTTTCATCAAGTTGATAGCATAATTTTTTTTGCGAGTTTGGTTATTTAGACAGTACTCTGCTACTTTAAACAAATCAGAAAAATATTGTCTATGTTCAAAACTACTTACACCAACAATGTATTGTTATGCTTAGTAAGCTATACATATTTTACAGCTTCCTGCAAGAGAAGACAGATGCCACGAACTTTGTCCTGGTAAGAAGTATTTTATGATTTCAATATAATTGTTGCTTTTAGCAATATAATATCACACCAATGTAAACATTTTACCTGGGCTTTTATTCCTGAATAAGGTACATATAAATATAAAAAAATAGTATCTAAAGGCAGATGTAAACACCAAGTGTATTAAGTGTTTATGTAATCAGCGTGTTTGACCTCCCAACTGCCTCATATCGATTCCATGCTCTACAGCGTATTGTTCACCCATTTCTAGAAAATGTGTCTAATGACTGGTAGCTAAAGATGACATATACGCCGCTAGAAGTGGCTCTCTATGATGACACTCATCATTATTCTGTTGTTAATATAAGTCGTTGATTTAATAAATACAAACAAATGTAATATAATAATTATAATAAAGATAATACCATGCCGATTTTGGGTATAGTATTGCATATTTAGATGCAATAAATTTTGTAAAAGCCAAATATTAAAGTGTTGCAAAAGGAACAATCACTTAATATAATGTTTAGTCCATTACTTCTCCCTGTTACCCAAAACAGAGAAGTCACTTCTCCATTTGAATCTGAATTCGAGTGAGCCCTATTTAGATCATTCGCTGCAGTATCGAAATCTTGTTTTTTTCTCATAAGTACCCTAGAAGACATATAGACAGAAAATCGACATTTGAAAAAGAGGTGTTGTAAGATTATAAAAAGACTATCTAAATAACTGCTTGTTATATGCTTCGTTACAAGGTGTCTTCTTCCCTCTTCGATTATAAAAAGCAGAACAAAATCGGTTTTGATCTTGTGAAATATTCAAATTTTGACAAAGGATTGTCCTTCCTTTTCAATATTTGACTAAATGAGGGAAATTAAGAGTTATCTTATTTATGTTATTATTACCACTGTTTTTATGAATACAAGCTATTTTGTGTTTATTAAAATATATTCAACTCAATCATATACATGGCATAAGGGGATACAATCCTGTTCAACTAATTTTATACATAGTAGGAAAAGAGTTCAGTAAGTCCAATTTGTCTTTTTTATCTGAAGGTAATTGTTTAATAAAAGTTGGTTAAGATTACCGCGGCTAAGAAACACATTTGTTTTATCTTTTCACCCATTCTTTTTTTATCTGACAAGGATAGAAACTGTAGATATGTTTCTCTATTTTATATATATATATATATATATATACAAGTCTAAATTGAAAACAACGTTCAAACCTATGATTGCGTTGGATAAAAACCGCAATTTTTATACGTGTGCATGCAAAACAAATTTCTTGGTAGAGTGGTCTAAATACAGCACAAACAACATTTTCCAAAAGACCAAAAAGTGAAAAAGTATATTTTAACAAAACGCATTTGACTAGCAGGTCGAACAACGGATGTTCTTAAACCCTGCTGACTGCCATGGCGATTGCCAAATAAACGGATCACCAGATGTAAAAATGGATCTTAATTTATAAATTAAATACAAAACAGAAAACAATAAACTTGCGGAAAAGATGGTATACCGCAAACATGAGGTGCAAAAATTTGTACACAATATCCGGATTTCGACATATAATGTCTCTTCAGTGATGTTAGGAATCGAAACGGTATTTGGAAGGCCATATAATTTACCTCAATTTGGGATTGACTCTTGAATTTTGAAGAGTCAAAATAGGATGAACGGATCATATAAGCCCGAAGGCAAATATAATACAAGCCCAAACGAAAAAATATAAACAAGTCCAAATTGAAAACAACGTTCAAACCTATGATTGCGTTGGATAAAAACCGCAATTTTTATACGTGTGCATGCAAAACAAATTTCTTGGTAGAGTGGTCTAAATACAGCACAAACAACATTTTCCAAAAGACCAAAAAGTGAAAAAGTATATTTTAACAAAACACATTTGACTAGCAGGTCGAACAACGGATGTTCTTAAATCCTGCTGACTGCCATGGCGATTGCCAAATAAACGGATCACCAGATGTAAAAATGGATCTTAATTTATAAATTAAATACAAAACAGAAAACAATAAACTTGCGGAAAAGATGGTATACCGCAAACATGAGGTGCAAAAATTTGTACACCATATCCGGATTTCGACATATAATGTCTCTTCAGTGATGTTAGGAATCGAAACGGTATTTGGAAGGCCATATAATTTACCTCAATTTGGGATTGACTCTTGAATTTTGAAGAGTCAAAATAGGATGAACGGATCATATAAGCCCGAAGGCAAATATAATACAAGCCCAAACGAAAAAATATAAACAAGTCTAAATTGAAAACAACGTTCAAACCTATGATTGCGTTGGATAAAAACCGCAATTTTTATACGTGTGCATGCAAAACAAATTTCTTGTTAGAGGGGTCTAAATACAGCACAAACAACATTTTCCAAAGGACCAACAAAGTGAAAAAGTATATTTTTACAAAACGCATTTGACTAACAGATAGAACAACAAATGTTCGTAAACCCTGCTGACTGCCATTGGCCATTGCCAAATAAATGGATCACCGATGTAATAAATGGATCTTAATTATAAATTAAATACTAAACAGAAAACAATAAACTTGCGGAAAAGATGGTATACCGCAAACACAAAAGGTGCAAAGGTTTTTGTACACCATATCCGGATTTTGACAATTAATGTCTCTTCAGTGATGTTAGGAATCGAAACGGTATTTGGAAAGCCATACAATTTACCTCAATTTAGGATAGACTTGAATTTTGAGGAGTCAAAATAGGATGAACGGATCATATAAACCCGAATATATATATTGGTTTGATATTCAATTTTTCCAGGGGCAATATAAATTACCCACATTTCGTGTTGATCAACTTCAGAAACTACCATAATGTATAAATTGTAAGCATGCAGTATCTATATTTACAACTACACGATATTCATGCACCAATCAATTAATGAGGTATTCGACACAATATGATTTTTTTTTAAACTTCGCTAAATCATAAAAAAAAGATTTATATTGTAACTTGTGGCTGAGTATTTTTCTAATGCACTGAGTAAGGTTTTGAACGTTCTGCTTACAAGGTAAATATCTGTTTGAACACAGACATAATATTCCAACTCAGATGTCTTCCTTAACTACACGAGGCAAGCACAATACTACGAGTCCGCTGACTTTGTTTGTTTTAGATAAATAAACTTTTCTTGAATGAATTCATGACCGAAAACCTAAGTTAATGCGATAGGTAAACATTAAACAGTCATTTATGTGTCTCTTTTCTGAAGAGAAAAAAACCTTGGTTTCTTGGTTTTGTTCTTGTATAGATCGATGTTTTTATTCTCAAATGCAGAGGATTTTATGCATGAATTGCAATACTGTTGGCTCTTACGTGAATGATCATATCATTAAACATGTTAAAGCACAATGTATTCCCTAGTGTCTCCGGTAGACAAACAATTGTAAACACTTTTGATGCATCTATTGTGGTTCTTTCTTTAATATATTTTTAACCTATTATCTGTCATGTCTTGTTTTCCGGAACAAGACTCAGTGCAAATCTAGGATTTGAAAGCATTATCCCCTGGGGTTTCTTGCAGTGTAGCAATCATTTAGGAGAGCCTCTGTTGTTTGCTTGGGTCTCGTCACTGACAATCTATACCTCGTTGTGTCGAAGTCAAAGGGACCAGACCAAAGTATTCGACTCATCCGAGGTTCGACTCATCCGAAGTCGAGTGTGTCGTCATCAATTTGCTATGCATGAAATACGGTGAGATTTGTGTAACAGTGTGTTTTTTTTTCTATATGACACTGTACTATTTTGTATTCAATCTCCATATTGTTTGGTTCTTCATAATCAAACACACAAGTACAGATACAAATAATGCACAAATAAAATCAATAGTCTACACAAATATTAACAAAGGTCAGTCACTATAAATTATGAAATGACTTGCGGAACGAAATAAGTTCTGAACGGTCTCTGATGAGGTTGTCTGCTTTACATTAAATTATGAATTTATCGATCGTAATTGTCTTAATCATTTTATTCATTGTAATGAATGAGTTTTAATTCTGACGATTCATTTAATCTCAGGATTGGGTAATTTAAATTCGTTTCGTTTTTATGTCAGGTGAAATATGTTCAACACACTAACGTTCCGCTTGAACGATTAAGAAAGGTGTTAATTACCGGTCACCATTAACATGTCATTTTAACTGTTATACAAACAAGTATATATGTTTACTCAGCTTTAATCTCTTTTGAAAATGATAAGGTTACATAAGAAATACATCTGATTTGATTTGTTATCATTAGGTCTCCAGGTCTTACTTTCGAAGTTCGAGATATCAGGGTTAATTTACATTAATTTAACATCAACGGGACTATAAAATTTACTCGACTTAATCGAGTATTCGAATCAACCTAGTTCGACTCATCAGAGGTAGTCATACATTGATCAAGCGGGAATTTTACCGGTACCGAGGAATTACTTCGACTCATCCGAGTTTTCGGCACAACCGAATTCGACGCAACAATGTTTCGACTGTATTAACCCTGAAGTGAATTTCCATATCCTTTTAGTAACAATTTTGATCATTTGTATTCTATACTTTGAATTGTATATTGTGTAGGTACCTGATTGCATATTTAATATCATGATGATCTTTTATTGCACTATGGAGGTCCATGAGTGGTATAATCAAATGATGAAATATTCTGAAAATTTCATTTTTTTAAATATAACTTCATTATTACTTGTTGAGACGATGGACGGTGTCTTTTAAACTCTTGAAGAGGCCACGGATAAGTCGAGTTCTATTTAGTTATTCGAAACTCGAGTTGTCGTTGACATTCCTAATGTCAAGATATTGATTCTTGGAATAGTTAGGTGTCTGACTTTCTACGTGTCAGACCAATGGGATGTCAGACCTTTGGGTGTTCGGACTAATATCATTTGTCTTGAGAATTAATTTGCTGTACATTGTGAGCAAACACTTATAATTACAGTTCATTTTTTTCTAGACAAAGGTAATTTATTCCTCACTTTATGTCGTATGCTTTTGTATGTGTCTATTGCCTTACATTAGTGAACATATTTGCAGGTTTAGACAAAGCATGGTTGGACAGTCAACTTGATGACAAACGTCTTGGACGCCTAGCAGTTAAATTAACAAAAGAAGAAACACAGGAAATATATATGTGTTTAAAGGAAAGAGAACCAGACCAGTCATGGAAAAACCTTGAGTCAAACACAAAAGAGCAGTTTGCTCTCAAAATAAACGCTCTACATGATTGGAAGAAGAGTACACGACATGCTACATTCAACAAGCTTCAAGATAGTATGAGGAAGAAAAATATTGACCTCCACAAATTATGCCAGGTACGTTTTTATAAAGATCTGTCAAACTAAACATTTTGCATTGATTAAGAAAGCAATTCTGCGCTACCTGACTATTTGAGTCTTTGGTCCATTTTTGAATTGCTGCCAAACTGTCAAATTGTATGTTATACATTTTTAAAACTGCGTAATCGTTGATAGAAATATAAATTATTTGAACTAGAGCCTAAATATGGTCAAAATATTAAAATATTTAAAAAAGCAGTCAACCTGAAATCATCAATACAAGACAAGGAGCTATATCCAGCTGAGCAACACCCCTTAAGCGGCAGGATAATCTTTGATTTTTGCAATTAAATATTGTTTTACTATCTGAATTTTATAAGAAATCAAAACGATATTCCTTTTCAATATTCATTAATATGAATCTCTTATAATGATATTAACGTTTGTCATAACCGACATGCAGTAAGACAAGCAACTTATTGGTGCACGCACCAAATGTATTGTCTAGAAACAACTTTTTTAAGACAGGGTATGAAAAAGGTAGAATGAGTTTTGAAGGTCATGGATGCCACAAGACAATGTTTGGTTAAGACAAATTAAAGTTTGCATTTAGAAGCAAAGCAGTACGAGTTTATTCATTAATACAGAGGCTTAATTCTGAAATAGTAAGGGACCCACTACCCAAACTTGAACTCTATCTGTGTATTATATTTCAAAGCATAGTCACATTTGTTTGTTCTTTATTACATGTATTAAAGTGAGTGTGAAGACATGTTTACTACTTTATTACTATGAGCTTGGCACATACATGTACATGTCTACATAGTTATAGTGAATGAATTTGTGTCTACCTGTGTTCATTATATTATTAAGTTAAATGATGTTTTTTTGCTTTGGTTCAATGTATTGTAAAATAATTTAGAAACTACATTATCACCATAATTTAGCGACAGTTGCATAATTTGTATTTTCCTATTTAAAACTTTTTTTCAATTGCATTGTTTTAATGTATACATGTATTGAAACATCAAAATGTTAATTTTACATGAGGCACACGCTTTACATTTGTTATAAACGAGCTCTAAATCGTTAAAGATGAATAATAACAGGCTCATCGTTATCTAAGGGTATGAATGGAATTACAGGAATGGTCTAAAACGCCGCACAACATTGCTAAAATACGGTAAACATCTAAAAATAAGAATGGACGGCTATTTAAGTGTCAAATGACTGTTTTTGTAAATTATTAGCTATCAATTAGACTTTTAACGTTTCTTTAGATTTTGACCGGCATGTTTGCCAATATGAAGACAATATAACCTTTTTTTTTCTAGACTTAGTGTAAATTATTATTTACTATTTATTTGTAAACCACTGCTCGTACGTTTTTGTTAACAATTTTAATTTATTACAAAAAAAAATCACGGTATTCAAATATTCGAATATACATATTTTACAAGCCATATTCCACAGCTTTTAAAACTCGCAGTATCGCAGTAAATTGTGTACACCGTTCAAACTCATTTCATTTCATATGAAATTCTCAGTTGATTCTTGATAGGAGTAATTGCCCCTTAATGATTTTGCCTATGATGCAAAATTATAATAAGTTTTTCGTTTCTCTACTTCCTATTTAAAAACAAATTAAATACGTTTCGAAAGCGTTATGTGTTGGTGGTAGCAAAAAGCAGTCAACAACCTTGTTGACATAAATGATTACTGCTACTATATTGCAAAACTCAAACCCACGCTAACAAGTTCGAGCAGATGCATATCTGTAACTTATACTGACGAAAAGGCCATAGCAAAGAGGATTTGGCGCCAGAAAACTAGTTTAACCCCTCCACATTCCATATGTGCCGGTCCCAAGTCAGGAGCATATCATTCAGTGGTTTTTGCTTGTTGTTGTATCTGTTTTTCGTTCATTATTTTGTACATAAATCAAGCCGTTACTTTTCTCATTTGAATTATTTTACATTTGTCATTTCGGGGCCTTTTATAACTGACTATGCGGTATGGGTTTTACTTCTTGTTGAAGGTCCTACGGTGACCTATAGTTGTTAATTTCTATGTCATTTGGTCTTTTGTGAAGAGTTGTCTCCTTGCAATCGTACCTCATCTTCTTAATTTTATATAAATATACAAGTTTAACAACGATTAAAGTCAATGATGCCAATGAACACCAAAGGCTGCCAAAATTACACAAGAAACTTGATAAATTTTGTGTTATATTATCGTCCAGGTTGACATTCGTTTTATAAAACATTGCTTCTAAAATTACCCATGGCCATCGCCATAAAAAGTATCATCATTTTCAAATTATCGGATAATTTGTGCTAACAATGTAAACAAGTGTTAACAAAAAAGAAATTGTAATTATTCAAATAATGCATTAAAAAATCTATGTTTTTGTGATACTAAGAATATGTGTATACTGGCTGTTTTTCATTTTTCATTTCAGATTTTGAGAGATGTTCAAATAGACCCAGGTAAGAGATAATTTAAAGTCAGTACACACTGTAGTTTCTATGGATTTTAATTTCCGTATAGCCGCCATAGTTAAAAATAGAACATAGGGGTAAAATGCAGTTTTTGGCTTATATCTTAAAAACTGAAGTATTTCGAGCAAATCTGACGGGCTAAAAGCGCTCATTATGTCAAGATCTACCTGCAGTAAAATTTTCAGACAAGTCGGACAACCGATGTTTTGGTTATTGCCCCTGAATTGATAATTTTCAGGAAATTTTGCAGTTTTTAGTTATTATCATGAATATTATTATAGATAAAGATAAACTGTTATCATCAAAAATGTTCAGCAAAGTAAGATCTTCAAATAAGTCAAAATGACTAAAATTGTTTATTGACCCCTTAAGGAGTTATTGGCCTTTAAAGACAATTTTACAAAATTGGTTCATCATGTTTGTTAACTTTAAAAAATCTTCTCTGAAACTGCTGAACCAATTTCAACCAAACTTAAAAGGAATGATCCTTATGGTATCTAGTATAAAGATCGTGTCTTATTAACAGTTTCGTCAAAAAACACTGACTTGGCTGGAAATAGAACATAGGGGTAAAATGCAGTTTTTGGCTTATATCTCAAAAACTAAAGCATTTGTAGCAAATCTGACAGGATGTTAAAGTGTTCATTAGGTCAAGACCTACCTGTCACGAAAGTATCAGACAAGTCGGACAACTCATTTTTCGGTTATTGCACCTAATTTGATAATCTTTGGGAAATTTTCCAGTTTTTAATTATTGTCTTGAATATTATTATAGATAAAGATAAACTGTAAAAAGCAAAAATGTTCAGCAAAGTAAGATCTACAAATAAGTTTATATGGCTAAAATTATTAATTGACCCCTTAAAGAGTTCTTGGCCTTCAAAGACGATTTTACACAATTTGTTCATCGTGTTGTTAAATTTTAAAAATCTTCTTCTCTAAAACTACTGAACTAATTGCAGCCAAACTTATGCTTAATGATCCTTAGGGTATTAAGTATAAACGTTGTGTTTTATTTTGTGTTTGATTCAAAAATATTGTCATCATGGCTATAAATAGAACATAGGGTAAAATGTCGTTTTTGGCTTATATCTCAATACCATAGCATTTAGAGCAAATCTGATCAGAAGTAAAAATGTTTATAAGGTTAAGTTATACATGGCTTGAAATTTCAGACGAATCAGACGACACATATTGGGGTAATTTCCCCTAAATTGACAATTTTAAGAAAATTTGGCAGGTTTATGGTTATTATCTTGAATATTGTATAAAGGTGAACTGTGAACAGCATAAATTTTCAGCAAAGCAATATCCAGAAATAAGTCAAAAGACCAAAATTGTCATTAGACCCATTAATGAGTTATTGCCCTTTTAAATCAATTTTACAAAATTTGTTTATCATCTTTGATAATTTTCATAAATCTTCTCTGAAAATAATGAACAGAGATAGACAAACGTAGGCAGGTAATCATGGTAATGGTCAAAAATGCACGGCTGGTCAAGATTTGTCAAGATTTGTCAAGATTTGTTTGGGAGGTAATATTTAGACAAAACAGACACCCAGTACATGGGCTTATTGCCTTTGAATTGGTATATGCTTTTTGCTGTTTTTTGTAATCTTGAATTTGATTATGGATAAGGAGATACTGTATGCAGCAATTTGTTCAGCAAACCAATATCCACAAATACCTGAATATATATATATATATCTATATCTATAAGTCTAAATTGAAAACAACGTTCAAACCTATGATTACGTTGGATAAAAACCGCAATTTTTATACGTGTGCATGTAAAAAATTTCGTGATAGAGGGGTCTAAATACAGCACAAACAACAATTTCCAAAAGACCAAAAAAGAGTGAAAAATTATGTTTTAACAAAACGCATTTGACTAACAGGTCGAACAACTGATGTTCTTAAACCCTGCTGACTGCCATTGACGATTGCCAAATAAATTGATCACAAGATTTAACAAAATGGATCTTAATATTCATTTAATTCCAAACAGAAAACAATAAACTTGCGGGAAAGATGGTATACCACAAACATGAGGTGCAAAAATTTGTACACCATATCCGGATTTCGACAATTAATGTCTCTTCAGTGATGTTATGGATCGAAACGGTATTTGGAAGGCCATATAATTTACCTCAATTTAGGATAGACTCTTGAATTTTAAAGAGTCGAAATAGGATGAGCGGATCATATAAACCCGAGGGAAAGTTTAATACAAGCCCAAATGAAAAAATATAAACAAGTCTAAATTGAAAACAACGTTCAAACCTATGATTGCGTTGGATAAAAACCGCAATTTTTATACGTGTGCATGTAAAACAATTTCGTGGTAGAGGGGTCTAAATACAGCACAAACAACAATTTCCAAAAGACAAAAAAGAGTGAAAAAATATATTTTAACAAAACGCATTTAACTAATAGGTCGAACAACTGATGTTCTTAAACCCTGCTGACTGCCATTGACGATTGCCAAATAAATTGATCACAAGATTTAACAAAATGGATCTTAAAATTAATTTAATTCCAAACAGAAAACAATAAACTTGCGGGAAACATGGTATACCACAAACATGAGGTGCAAAAACTTGTACACCATATCCGGATTTCGACAATTAATGTCTCTTCAGTGATGTTATGGATCAAAACGGTATTTGGAAGGCCATATAATTTACCTCAATTTAGGATAGACTCTTGAATATTAAAGAGTCGAAAAAGGATGAACGGATCATATAAACCCGAGGGAAAGTATAATACAAGCCCAAATGAAAAAATATCAACAAGTCTAAATTGAAAACAACGTTCAAACCTATGATTGCGTTGGATAAAACCCGCAATTTTTATACGTGTGCATGTAAAACAATTTCGTGGTAGAGGGGTCTAAATACAGCACAAACAACAATTTCCAAAAGACCAAAAAGAGTGAAAAAGTATATTTTCAACAAAACGCATTTGACTAACAGGTCGAACAACTGATGTTCTTAAACCCTGCTGATTGCCATTGACGATTGCCAAATAAATTGATCACAAGATTTAACAAAATGGATCTTAATATTAAAGGGAAAATTCGCGATTTTTTACTTTTTATCTTATTTTGTTCATAATACCATAAAAAACATATTTACCAAGTTTTATCTGGATATGAACACTAATAAAGAAGGAAATTGGGAATTAATAATTTAATTTATTCCAACTTCCTGACTTATGTGACGTAGTTTAAGTCTTTTTGCATGCCGGGAGTGAATAAATCTCATTGTAAGTCTTGTTCGTTAATCATCTGATAACGCGATTTAAAGCGCATCGACGACTTTTGGTGTAGCTATTAACCAACTAATAATTAAGAAAGTAAAGTGATCAGCCGTGCAACTTTCAAAATTAAAATGTACGATTTATAATTAAAGGATTTCTGATATGATTATAGTAATAAAAGTAAATCATACAATAGAATATATTTTTCTGATTTTTTTTCCGACGGATATTTTGAACAAACATATATAACTGATATTGTTTTACAAATGCATGTTTGTATTCTCACCTGAAGGCTTTTACTTCAGTCTAGCAAACATTTCCCACTAGTACTGTGTAAATACAATGTGTATTGTACTGAGACACTTAGTGACTACCTGTTGAATGCGTGTTTAAATTCAAGGTAATTAAAAGATTAGCATTCTGTAATTCTATTCTTTTGATCTTCACTCAGTGAATTTTAGCCAACACGGTTCACCGTTACAGGTGTGAACAACATTTCGTATGAATGATAAAAACATTAATTATTTGGGGAGGAATATGGTGGTGATGGTGGCAAAATACCTGAATCGCCGTTATATACATGTATATCTTTTATATTTTGCGTAAGCTTAATTTTAAAATACATAGGTGAGTATTTTGTTGTAACATCGAAATTCTGAATTACTTTCAATTAAATAATTTTATAAATAAAAATGGCCCACGAAAACGAGCGTATAAACCAAACACTGTACTTACTTTTTCAAATTATCATGGGTATTAACCTTGAATATTTCAATGTTTAGAGAAAATTATCGCGGTTACATGATTAATATAGCTTGGTACGTCCACAGCGATCTACATTTACCTAATCGGGAATGCCCTTATTAAAATATCTAAAATCTCACAACGTATACATACTTTAGCTATTTGACCAACGATGTTTAAAAAAAATAACAGAATGAATCTAACGTCAACTTTCCTTTTTTGAATGGAGACAGACCGGCGGAATCAATTTTCAATGTGCTTTATAATATCTTGCACCTTTGCAAGACTTATCATTCATTCATAAACCCACTATATACCAGAGGCATATATGTCAGTCTTAACTGACAAGAATAAACCTAAAGCGGACAAGCAGTATATTCTTTAAGTTTCTGTGATTTAATACCAAGAAAATAAAAATCCCGAAATAAGTTTGATACTTTGATACTCAATATTTTTCCTGGAAAATATTCACATCCTCGTTTGGTCTGGAAATAAGATAAGAATTTGGTATACATAACATGTAGAAGTGTGAAAGTCATGAAACCTTGTTATATCAGAAACCATTATAAATATGAACCTGTATACGTAAGACCTCATGGGACGTCACCTAACCACATATATGTAATATACAAGTAGCTCTGTTATACCCGGAAATGTCAAGGTAAATCACTACCGATACAAAATGTACCAATGCAAAGAAAATTCTGATGATTGTGAAGCATGACCATTCATGATTTTAGAGGAGTCTTAGTCTTAGGTGGAAATTGCCGGTACGATTTAAATTCTGACTAGATTTTTTTCTCTCAATTTAAATCACTGAACTTAAAAAAAAAGAAACCTACGCCCAAGATCAGAATTCTTCATGTAAATTCATAAATACAACGTTTATTTTGTAACTTTCGATATACTTCACCTCCAACCACCGCCCCCTCCCAACCTGGGAACAGTATATCCAACATTACAATGTTTGTGTACCTGCCC